CAATCTGAAGAATCCCTGCAATGTCGATGGCGCCCTATGAACAGAATGATCAACAAGTATGTTGGATATCTCTCCAAGGTTAAGAGCTTCCACGGTAGTGGTAAATCCGCCCACGACATCACCGCAGACGCACACGAGATGTACTTGCAGAGAGAGAAACATGTCTTCAAACACGTTCGATGCCACAACCTTTTATCAACTGCCCCGAAATGGGCCGACTACAACACTGAACTGGCTAGACGTAGCAATCCAAATCCCACTCCTCCCAAACCTACCCCTTCTGTCATTTCAATTCGGTCAACCACGGCGTCTCTGACCGATCTTGAAGATTCTGACATCGAAGTCATATCTTCTGACTCTCATGATCGCCCTATGGGGAACAAATTTGCCAAAAAATCAAAGCACGCGGAATCTCTTTTGTCGCAGTTGGTAGATAGCACCAAGGCCATCGCGGTGGCTAGTGGCTCGATTGCTTTAGATTCACGAATACAAGCCTCAGCGGTTGACTTCCTTACTGATGATGTTGTACTCAAGACAGATCTTTCCACGCTTCAAGGTGATATCAGATTGTATTATCAAATGAAGCAGGCTGAGATAATCAAGAAGAGAATGGCTAATATGAGGGCTGAACGTGGGCAGTAGTAGTCATTTACCTCATGTTGAGATCAGTCATGGTTTATTTACTCGTTTCACTCAATTTATGCTTCTTGGTTGTTTGTCTGTGCAGTTTATGTTTTTGCTTGTAACTTTCTCTTTACTTACTTGTTAACCTTCGTTCTGTCTCTGCCTCTGTGTGCTGTGTGTGATTTTGTAGATACGACTTTCCCAAAAAAAATTATTGCTGTGTATTTAGTTCATTGCTATTTTTCATGTCATGTTGATAATTATAAACATATTGATTTTTATACACCTTTGGATGATAGTATAGTAGCATCAACCGGCTTCCGCAAGTAAGCTACTAATCGCAGTTCCCCCATTCTGGAACAAGTTGTGAGAGTAACCAGGTGCGTTATTGGGTGATTTGCAACTTGGGTTATTTGCAACTCTGGTGTTTCTCCAGGTTGCCATGACTGATCTTAGATTAATATTAATTATTTCAATAATGAATAATCTACGATGTGGCCTCCTCGCAATACTATAAAAAAGGCTTGATCTTATGTGAGGTTCAAGAAAGATCTCGTTCTCAAACTCCACTGTTTGTTCATAGTTTACTTTACCTCTGTATATATCAACGCTTACACATTCCTTCCGAGTTAACCTTGTCGAACTCTTAAATCATAATGTCTTCTTCCAGTGGCAATTCCGGGAATCAAGCAACCCCAAGTTCCCCCGATGTCACCTGGATGGGTACGACGTTTGGAACCGGATTTTCCCCCCAAGGATTCCTCTGATACAACCGGATTCATCAGGACCTAGCCAAAGGACAAGGCGATGAACGTCGGGAACTTGTAGATCCCAGATTGCGAACACCTGAAAGCGAAGGTGAGTATAAGTCTGATAGTTTGTATTAAACCATCATACTGACTTTCTAATCATTAGGAAACTCCCGCGATTCATCTCCAGATATAATAATTATCGCTTCCAACCGCGGTAACAACCACACGCCCAACGTTCAAGGTCAGCATGATCTTTAATGCAAAAACCCTGCATGCAACACTAAGTTAACGTATTTTATCCTTAGGCAACCATCCCAGCCCCCGAGCTCAACAAGAATTAGAGCTATTGGAGGAGTATCAACGCCGACAAAGAACCAAACAAGAAATGCGACGTATCATTAAAGTCATTCAAAGTAAGAGAAGAGAAGAGTTTCGAGTCCTTCGTGAAGCTCTTGGCCAGGTTTACAATTACCAAGGACGGTACCTTCAAGGGCCGGGTGAAAAGGAGTCTGCCGCTCATATTTTACGAGAGGGTGGTTTGGGAGCTGAATTTGTAAATGTATTTGATCATGAAGCCAAATGGGCTTGGCTTCAAGCTCGTGTGAACGCGCTTTAGAACGCGCTTTAGTTAGCATTTTATGATAGTCTATGATGTGTGGTTGAATCATTCTTGTATTGTGTTGTCGCTCTTCTCATGTTATCTTTTGGTAGTGTCTCGCTCTCGCAGAAGCAGAACATGAAATGAATCTAAACTGATTCATGGGTCCGTATACTCTTGCATACAATACAAATGCTGAGGGATAAAGTGAACATAAAGTAAATGGCAAGGTGAAAAAGTATATGTACAATATATAATAAGACAAAAAAAAACCTCGATGACCCATGAACTGAGTAAAAAGATGGATGACATTCAGATTCCACCAGCCTCACCCCCTCTCCTTAATCCCGCCGCACCTCGTAAGCTCCAGAGATGCTCGATAAGGTTGTTTTGTAGTTGCTGATGTAAATTTTGATCTTCAACTTGGCTTTGCATATTGAGATAACGCTGATAAGGAGTTATGTCATCATCTGGATGTAGCACCTCTGCTATATCCACCAGAGGAATTACTTCGTGGGGCTCCCCGCCTCGCTCATCCTCAACTACCATGTTGTGGAGGATGACACAACATAACATGATAGATTTCAATACTTTTGGACTCCACATACGCGCTGGACCAGCCACTATTGCAAATTGTGATTGTAGAATGCCAAAAGCGCATTCAACATCCTTTCGAATAGATTCTTGCAACGTTGCAAACCACTGTAGAAGTTAAATAACATACCACATGTCAGTAATACTGTTCTCGTAGAGAGAATATACACAAGAGTATAATAAATACCTGTTTTTCACGTCTTGTGGATGTGAAATGGTTTTAACAATAGTAGACCACTTGGGATAGATTCCGTCCCCCAGATAATATCCTTTGTTGTACTGGTGACCATTAACTTCAAAATTAACCTCGGGTGCTTCACCTTGGCAAAGACGATCGAATAACGGAGAATGGTTGAGTACATTGAGATCATTAAGTGAACCAGGAATTCCAAAGAACGCGTGCCATATCCAACGATCTTTGGATGCAACGGCCTCCAACACAATAGTTGGGCCACCTTCTTTGCCTTTATACTGACCGCTATGCGCCCTGGGGCAGTTTTTCCAACGCCAATGCATGCAGTCGAGTGAACCTAGCATGCCTGGGAAGCCCCGTTCTTTGTTTTCCTCAAGAAGTCTTGCAGTGTCCTCTGCGTTGGGTTCTCAGAGGTATTCTGCTCCAAAACGAGACACAACGGCGGCACAAAATCGTTTCATACTCTCCGTAGAGGTTGTTTGGCCCAGACGTAAGTTTTCGTCGTTCATGTCCGCAGGAGTCCCGTAGGCGAGCATTCTAATGGCGGCGGTGCATTTTTGTAAAGGAGTTAGGCCCAGTCTTTGACAAGCATCGCGTTTTTGAACAAAGTAGCGGTCCTCTGCAGTGACGCCTTCGACAACGCGCAAGAAAACATTGCGTCCCATCCGGTAACGACGACGAAACTGATAGTCATTGTAACAAGGATTATCCACGAAGTAGTCTTTCATCAATTTCTCATGTCCTTCTTCGCGGTTACGTTCGATGTTGGGAGCTTTTCCAGGCTTGGAGCCACCCCCTCGTCGCTTGTGAATATCTTGAGAAGTAATGAAGTGACGAGCTACAGACGAGGTCACTTGGCCAGCGTCAACTATTGTTTGCATACGATTATTTGTTTGGGCACATATAGATAACAGGTTGTTTAATGCGAGAGGATGGGGATCTGGCTGATCAGCCATTTGATCACACGTTAAGATTAAAGATCACCGTGAAGAGGAAAGGAATACGGAAAAAGATAAGATATATCGAGAAAAAGATGTGATCGGTTTCAACTGAGCAGTGAAACCGATCACCACCAAAAACCGACTACTCAGAGATAATGTCTGTCACTTCCGTGGCAGACAATATCTCTTTGTGGATATCTAAATTTCCACTTTCTCGTGTTTACACGGCAACGGTTTTCTCGAACGCCGGGCATATTCCATTGACCTGTCATACAGTCTTTGTACAGACAATTACAGAGACCCAAAAGGGTCGGATTTTACACTGCCCGGTGGTGATGCTCTAAGAGGAAAACTTCCTTGATGTTGTTTATGTATTATCATATTTAGTGAGTTATTACGTGTGCATGGTATGAGGTATGAGGTATGAGTGAGATATTGTGCGCTTGGTGGCACTTGTGGTTTCAGTAACGGGACTGCTATTCAAACTCGGTTCTTTCAAAACCTTGACGGACGGCTTGGTCTGGATTTAGATCATAAGATTCCTTGATTATTTCTCAATCATCATTCATCTCTTTCAAGAGTGATTTTTTGTTTTGCAGGTTGACTAATTCACTGATTTTAGAGTGGAGATTTATTTGAAATAAAAGATCACCTTGAAATATTTATCTTGTTATCAACTAGAAAAAAAAATAAGGAGGATTATCTACACACATATATATATATACTTTCATATATCCTCATTACAATCTCTTATATTTGATCACTTCTTTGATTTTTGATTGTCAAATTATTGAAAATTATGAAAGTCTGGTATGCATCCTCTATTTATAAAGAATTGTAAGTATGTCCCAATAAAATGGAAAAACTTTGTAAACAAAATCAAACTTCCTCGCTCCTTGTGTCAGTGAGGATTGTTAAGTTTGAGTAAAATTTAGAAACTTCCGCTCATGAAAGAATCATTCATTTTTGGCCGCCAATCTTATGTCACGGCCTACAAATCCTATCTACGATCCGCCGGTGCTACGATCATACCATGCAAAAAGCCCCCAATTGTCACCAAGGCCCTCGCTCCTCAGGAACTCAAGTTTACCCGACGCCATTGGCGCTAGTAGTACGCCTTCTCGAGGGCGAGGCGAACGCCGCTCGTGAGGGGCTTACTTAAGCTTGGCCTTCCTATGCCTTCCGCTTCTTCACATGCTGGCAGGAAGATTCTCAATCTATCAAATCGCACCCATTCCAAACTGGTATAAAGACACAATAGTTCGATTGACGTTTGACTCGGTGTCATTTTACCAAAAATGCTTCACTTCTTTCCTAAGATCGCCATCCTCCTCTTCCCCCTGTTCATCAAGGAGACAATCCAGCTCCAGGGAGACTGTACTGTATATTTTGCAGTCGAGGGAAACAGTAAAGCAGGTACGGTACCATCCCATTTCAATCTTTCCCTCAATCTTAACTACCAGAATGATGATTGATCTAAACCCTCGACTGACGTAGATTTGTTTCTGTTATCACTCATTACATAAAAGAGTGCTGGGGGGAATCAGATCATTTTGAATGCAATTATGCAAGCTGTCACAACGGTAGTAAGTAATTCACAAACCGATGATTCTTAATCTTGTTTACGATCCCACACCGTCAAGCTGATTAGTGGACATGTGTATCTTATTCATTCTGTGATGATGTAGACTTTCAATGGACTCCGATGACTGGTTGCCAGTTACAAGATTCACCCGACCAAAGCTTTAGTGATCAACAGTGTGTGGAATATCATTTCGACACAATCTCGGCTCGTTATTGTGAGTAGATTTTGATTTTTAACTTATCCATTCCCCATAAGTTCTGACGTTCAAGATTGATATTTGTTTGCGTATGTGTTTGGAACTCTTTAGTTTGTAAAGTTCATCGTCATAAGACTTATGTATGCCCTTTGAAGAATAATATATCCAAGATGCGTTCGTCACTCTTTTCATACTTATCAAAAAAAAGTTATTTAACTGAAGTTGATTTATCTCTTTTTAGAATGTGGCAATTGTGTGAAAACTAGATAACACAGAAAAAAAAATTGGGCATCTCGTACTTGATTCTTAAAAGAAAAAGAAAAACCATGATATTTCAATTATCACTTGATTTTTTCCTCATCATTTATATTTAATCAAGATTGATTCTTTTCTCAAAGATTCACTTTACTGATACAGATTTTAAAATATTGATCTTGGTTTCTGATTACAGAAATCATCGTATCTCTTATTTTCCAATTCTTTTAGTTTTGATTCTCATTATGAATTTGTGGGAAAGCTTGTACATACAGATTGGATAGCTCCTCATGAAAGATCAGTAAAAACCCAAGAAACCTTGAAATGGAACTGAGAGAATCAAGAGCTACTTTATCATGTTTCCATTTAGCACATAATCTGAAGCATCTATGAGAAATGTATAACGTATGCATGCTTACTGATGATGTTGTTTTTGTTGTTCTTGAGCAGCTGATCCTGGTTAAGAAGACAAGTTTTTTTGTCATGACTTCATCTCTGAAACTATCCCTTTTGAATCCTTTGTCTTCATTTTGACATAAAAGGGTCTACCACTTTTTTCCTTTTTGTTTGTTCATTGATAATTTGATATCTCATCTTTTAAATGTTGAACAAAGTTAGGAATATGTGTGTTGATGTTAGAGAAAAAAGACTTTTTCAAAATTATTGTCAATCAAGATTATCTATCGAATATAGGTGTGTCCATGAATTAATCATAAACAAGCTTGTAAATACAAGCTATTCAATGATCTTGTTTTACGATTCTGCCCTTTTTCGCAACCACTCCATGAGTGAGGAGCTCCCTCTATCTGAGTAACTCACGATAAAGCTTTCTCTAACAATTGGCAAAGACCACCTTTGCAAAATACGCATAAAACAAATACACTCTGATAGGTTGCTCTGTATTTGCCATGTGTTAACCATATGGAAGGGTGGAGCCAGGTGGAGCCTCGAATTCCGTGGTTATATACATTTGTACACCTACGGTTCCGCCAGTTGCCGCCAAAATTGTACAATCAGTAAACAAAACGCCACCATTTCATCTACCTTTTGTAATGTGAAAAAGACTGATACGGTCAATTCAGAACCCGCAAAATATGGAGCCCACTGTGGATGCTCCGCTTGTCATCTTCTCTTGATCAAATCCCATCCATCTGAAACTGGTGTCAATTTTGATACTTCCAAGGGTGATCATCTTCGTTTCTAGCTTTACCAAAAAATGCTTCACTTCAAGACCTTCCTCCTTCTATTTTCCATGGGTATCAAGGCGACAATGCAGGAAAGAATTACTTGTGACATAAAGCTTAAAGTCGAGGGAAACAATAAAGCAGGTATGGAAATCCCATTTCAATCTACTTTGGCACTTTAACTACAGTATGATCTACAACCACGGCTAACGCGGAGATGTGTTGTGATCCCTTGTTTCAAAAGAGTGCTGGGCGCACCCGGCAAACTCACCAGGAAAGTATGAGTGTCATTATTCAAGCTGTTTCAATGGTCTTTATGGTAAGTATCCAAAAACCGATCATCATCCCCCTTGATGTGAAATCGCACTGTAAAGCTGATTAGTCGGTATGTATCTTGTGCATTTTTGATACTAGGTTTTCAATGGACTCCGATGAATCTTTGTATTGATGCCGCCGGGATCTTGCTTGATGGAACTCAAAAGTGTATAGAATACGAGCTCGACACAGCAGCGGGTCAATATAGTCAGTCTTCTGGATCATTAACTATCCATTCTTCATAAGTTTCATCATTGAAATGTTTGGGTTATGTGTGTGAATGTGGAATTCTACAGCTTGTCAAGTTCGTCATGCCAAGAATGGACCAAGACTTATTTATAAGTGCCCTCTTACCGACGATAATATACCTCAAACGCGTCAGTCGAGTTTCGCCACCCATCATAAAGGCATATATACTTAACTGACTAAAATTTATCTCTTTTTAGAATGTGGCAATTGCAAGTTGAAGTAATACATAGATCACACCGAAATCACTCGGGTATCTTGTGTCGTTCTACAAGTGATATGGAAGGAAATTGCGATGAATCTATTGACATTATTCCCTGATTTGTTCCTTGTGATCTATATTTGTCGAGAGTCGCGTGGTGAGCACGGATGTTGAGTCTGGGGCAGGCCAGGCGCGGGGTTTGAACTCTCCAAAGGCGCGCCTAAAGTAGGGCCGCTGAGGCGTTAAATCACCCCCCCACTGGCACAAAGCAAAAAAAAGTAAAAAACACTTAGGGCGCGTTCACTTAAGCGCTTTTTCACGAAAAAGCGCTTTCTTGAATGTTGATAAATCGCATTCTGTGAAATGCGTTTGATTTCTTATTTACAAGCATTCTTGAAATCACAGAATGCTTGAAAAAAGTCTTTTTTTGGCACTTTTCAAGAATTCGATAATATCACATTTTTTGCTCTCGAAATCGCATTCTGCCTCAACTTTTCCCACCTATCATTTCATTTGTGAACTTATCCTGAAATCTCACAATGTACCTTCCACTGTACAGGACCCCTCAGATATTTCCCGAGTCCCCATTCATCGTACACAGCTCTCAAAATCCGTCATCCACCACTCTCCTCAAAAAACGTCTTCGATTCATCCTCACTTGATCTCATTCTCAACCCAAGTCACCTTTATACAAGCACAGGAACCTGATCTAATTTTCGTTTGGAAGTGAGGCAAATAGCCATTTGAGCTTTACTGTCATAAGATGATTTAGCTAAACACTGTTTCTCACTCAAACTGAGTTCCAGTTCAGTCTTTTTGATAGACGTCAAAGCATCTTTCTCGATCAATCAAACTTCAGCTGTGATTAGTCGAAGATAATGCTGGTACAAAGACCTGATTGAGTTTGATTCGAGAAAGGATTGAAAGAAAGGATTGAGCATCAACAATTTGCAAAAGTGAGGATGTATGATTGGTTTATGTAGTGGGATTTTTCAGATCGAAGGGTTTGTCTGGGGATCAACAAACAAAAAAATCGTCCTTAATTTCACCTTTAATCAAACGCTTCATGACCTCTTTTGTCATGAAACGTGAAATTTTGTTTTTTTACAAAAATCGCTTTTCTACATGTAGAAAAGCGGTCACCTAGAATGCGCTTTCTGGAAATCCGGCCTAAGTGAACGCGGCCTTAGGGCGCGTTCACTTAACCAAATTCTGGTGAGAAATCACATTCTGCAAAATTTAAAATGTCTATCTGGTGGGGCATGTTACGTTTTTGCATTAAAAAATTTACAGAATGTGATCACTGGTCCGAAATTCCTTAAGTGAACGCACCCTATAGAACATCAAAAATGGCATGTTTCATATTTCATATTACTGCTTTGAATGATCAAAGGAAGCATTTCATCAACAGCCAATAGGCAAGATTATCAAAAAGGATATCCTTGTCCCAATCCTTAGTCTCAGACGCCTCATCTGAAACAATAGTATCAGGTTGTTCTGCTTCAACTCAAATATTGAATAATTTTAAATCAAAAATAGTATCTATATACTAAATCCGGTATAATTCTCTTGTCCTTCTCCCTGATCCACTTCATCTTTGCCATGAATTTCATTTTCAAACTCTTGAATTTTGTCAAGATCTTCAAATCAAGGATCTGGATCTTGTGAGTCATCACTGACACACCATCGGGCCACTGCTTTGCTCTCAGCAAGCAAAGTTGGGCAACACAAAGCAACACATACATTGAAGAAAGATAGGGCAACACATTGGTTCAGACCATTGTCTGATATCCTTTGGATCAATATTTTCTACCATTGCAATGTGGTGCGGCACCATTGTCAGCAATGCAGCGGGGTAACAGGGTATGCCCCACTGGAATGGTGGATCCTCATGTTTTGTTACTTGGAATTCAAGGATCCACTGCATCCGCCAGAAAAGGTCTTGATGTCAAGATTTTAATGTACTACAAAGGGGCCCCTTTGTAGTGGGTGATGTTCTTGACGTCAAGAACCTCTCTGGCGGATGCGGTGATCTCAATTCAGTTGTCCTTAGGCTTTTGACGGTAGACAAAATAAGAAAACCAAATAGTATCATGATTTCAACAATTTTGATACCTTAACACATAATTTTTCTTATACTTATACTTTGATAATTTTTTTTACTCAAACACTTTGATAACTAATTTTCTTATACTTCAATACTTGAATACTCTTTAGACTTGAAAAAACACATTTTCTATTGATTTCTATTTTTTTCTTGTATAAAAATACTTTGATACTCTTTTCTCTTTTCTTTGTTTCAAATTTGATTCATTTGTGTATATTATAAGGTTCCTAAGTGTGTTGTCCGCAACAGCAGTGAATGCAAAACACAACAGCAAGTGGTGCAACTTTGCCAGTGCTTTGCGGCTGATGAGTTGAAAAACACAGATTTTGTGTTGTGCATAACACACATTACTCACAACACAAAGCGACAGCCCATTGTTGGTCATCAGTAGCAGCAGTATGATTGGAATTGGTGGTTGGTTTGGGCACACAATTTAGGTTAGGAATTAGGGTGAGGTTTAGGGTTAGACAATAAGTGTGAGATACATATTTGTGGGAGGACAGTCCCATTGTAATCAGGTGTATGTTTAGTAGCAAATTACAGACTGACTGTGGCCCTGTGCATACTTTGTTGCTTGCGCAAGCAAAGCGGCTTTGTGATTTGCGCAACCCTTTGTTTGCTCTCAAATATGGGCACACCAACCCTAAAATCAGGCCCAAAAGGCCTTCCCCTGGGGCAGGCCAATTGCGCCCCACCCACCACGTCATTTGAGATATGACAGGTATCTACTGAACAAGAGTTGTGAACACAAAACAAAAAAATACAAAGGTCTTGCAGAGGGGGGATATGGGCTATGCTCTTGCCAATGCTACACAGAGCCATAGTTTGTATCTTGAATTCAAACCTGCAAAAAGTACCAGAAATCCTGAACAGCCTCAATTGTGCCGCAAGTAGAGGCCTTTGGGAGATGACTGGCAGCCAGCCGCTGGTATTGGCACTGACACTGCCAGTCAGTTATATCCCATGAATGTATGGCTTACGCGACCTGAGTCTCTTGTGCTCAACCATATGACATACCCACAACACATCAGGTGAAACCTTTTCACCTGGTGCCACCCTTTCTGGACATATACTGCCTGATAACACCATCACAAGTTGGAGCCAACTTCACACTCTGCAGGTTTCATACCTCACAACCTCAAAAATTATTTCAAGATGCTGCTCTCCAAATTCATTGACAACCTCTCTCAGCTCTATCCTGAGCTGCACTTGACACTTAAACTTTGTGATCTGTTTGGTTCTGCCATCCTGGCCGCCAAAGTCTCTGATAAAATGAAAACACTTGAAAGAACCAATTGTCCAGTGAGCAAGCAATGAACAAGCATCATTTACTTTTGACTGCTCTCTTGGTTCACATGGGGGGCTGGCCTGGCACACCTCACATTGCAAAGAAAGAACAAGCTGTTTCCAACTGTGTTTGAAAAAACACAGTTACATAATATTAATACATTGCAAAACATAGAAAAAATGATGGGCTGGGAATCCCCCTAATTGATCATCATATGTATGGCCCTCTCTGACTCAGACATGCACCAACCATTGTTGTTAATACCATTGAAATCTAGTGTCAAAAACTAATTCACCTGATTTTCAAGTCATTTTTTGCTACAGCTGATTGTGTACTAGGCTGGATGCCGCACTACATAGTCTCAGACATAGGGATTCCAAGGACTGGTTAGCAAGGTTTTCAGAACAAGGATATAGAAAGACAACAAAAGAAGGAACCAGACTATTCACATCAACACCACAAGTGAGGATATTTGAGGATGTATTTGAGGGGGGTCCACTTATCCTTGTCTTCCTCAAGAAATCCAGGACAGATGATGCCAGCCGCACCAAATAAAGTAGCTTGGGATATTGTGTAGGACAATGGCAGGCTACATTGGGGATTGAAGTCAGAAAGCAGGACTAGATGGGTGGTAGTGCTGGTAGTGTGCATGACACGTAACAATTGGGAAGTGGTAGGAAGGGGTACAAGTTGGCAAGGGGCCCTGTTACGTGAGGTTTGACATTACTGTCCAGTGTCAACAAGGGTAATGTGGCACAGAGCTTTCAGCAGCGCTGTGAGCCCTACCACCGGTGAGCCCTACAGCATGGAGCGGCATGATGACACCGCTTTCACGGGGGGTGGGTGATGTAAGTGAAAGGAGTAGGCGATAAATTGGCAGTACCATGTTCTCCCGAAAGCCCGTCGTTGCCGGTTGAACGCCGGTGGCGCTACGTCGGCTGCCGCTTTTTCGCATGGTGTGCGCCCTCATGTATCTGTTATAGTCTGCTATTCTCTTCCTCCCTTCTTTGTTGTAGTCATCTTCTCTTGATCAAATCACACCCATTCCAAAGTGGAACAATTTTTAATACTTCAATTGTTGCTCATCCTCGTGTCGAGCTTCACCAAAGATGCTCCACTTATTTCCGAAGGTCACCCTCATTTTATTGTTCCTGTGCATCAAAGCGACGCTGCAAAAAATTCAATGTACCGTAGAATTTCAAATTATCAGGGGACAAAATCGAGCAAGTATGTATGGGATTCGGGAACCACATTTCAATCTTCACTTCCATTTTAACTCCGGTATGATCTACACCCACGACTGACACGGATTTGCTTTGTGATCACTCACATTGACAGAGTGCTGGACAAAAGATATAAACGGACTTGAACAACATTATATATGCCATCATAATACCTGTTGGAACGGTGGTAGGTATCTGCAAACCGATCTTTATCCCACTTGATAAAAATGACACCGTAAAGCTTATTAACGGAACTAACCTCATGTGTTTTCTAATATCAGATCATCAATGGACTCAGATGCGAGATTGTTGGCCGTTGTATACCGGCACCCCAAACCGCGGACCCTGGAGTGATCAACAGTGTATAGAATATAATTACGACGCAGCCCAGCGATATTATGGTCAGGATTCTGGATCTTTAGCTATCCGTTCCTTGTAAAGTTTTTCACTCAATTTTTATTGTTTGCGTTTGTGGATGTGGAATTCTCTAGTTTGTGCCCCTACTGGTCACCTGGGGTTTGCGTGCCCTACGAGCATTGTGAATGCACCCCAAATGTGTCAGCCAAACAGTTTCCCACTGATCACGAAGCTTATTTAACTGAAGACGATTGGTATTTTTGTAGATTGTGGCCATTGCACGTTGGTGAAGTAGACCACAAGAAACACTGGGGGATCTCGTAACGGTATCACTATTATTCTGCACATAGTGTAGAAGGAAATCGTGATGAATCTTTTCGAAATGATTTGTACCTCACATTCTTACATGCGTTAACAGTCATTTTACCTTGACTCTCCACTCATCAACACACAATTGATGTATTGATGTTGTTTTCAAATACAAAAATGTCAAGACTGTGACTATCACTTTCATACACCCTCATCACTTATTTGCCGCTTCTTTTCCTTTTTATTTTCATTTAGACTTGTGAAATTCTGGCACAGATGGTAGAGCCTCCCCAAAGACCAAAGAAGGGGGGACAAAAAAGGAAAGCCAAAGAGAATTAGGTAGTACTAAGATTCACAATAAGAAACCGTAATTTGAACTAACACCAACGGGAAAAAAGTTCCATAGAATGACAATAGAAATGATCAAGACATGTACCAAACATTGTAGACAGCAAAAGAAATGTTTTTATAGATCAAAAAGTAAAGATCAACATGTGGAAAGGAGTAAAAAACTCACTCTTGATAAGTTGAACAGTTACTTTGGTATCAAGGATTAGGAAGCCTCAAAGCAAGCTGCTGGTTGACCTCGAGGCTCGAACATGAGTTCAACGTTGTGGAAAGGGTGTTTTGCCGAAACACTGTTTCACGTTGATGAACTGCATTTAAACAGCTGTTTCACGTGAGTCTCGATTGAAAGGTCAAGTTTTCATTTTCCTTTGATGAATCCACCAAATCACAACTTACGACCAACTTCAACTAAATTCCTTTTCTTTTATTTGACAACCAAGATTTTATCAATCCGCATACGATCAACGCGTCCTAACATCGAAAATGTCTTCCGATGAGGTAAACAGCTATCCTGCTTGACTCACTCACCTTTCAAGGTCAAAAGACGCGTGATATCGGATTTGGTCAATATATTGACACACCGTTTTCCTCACTCCTGCAACCGATATTAACAAAAACAGGAAGAAGACTTCGATATGCCTGATGTAGCATCAGGTTCTGACTTTGAAATGGACGCGCCAAAATCGAAAGCCAAAGCCAAACCGAAAGCTAAAGTAAGTCATTCTCAACTACCATACAACGTTTTCGATCTTTGCTTAATCTTGATCCAATTTGAATGTTTAGGCCCCTGCCAAACCCAAAACTACTACAGCTACTACAAAGCCTGCAAAGACAACTAAAGCTACAACCACCAAGGCTACGACAGCTAAACCGAAGAAGAAAGATGTACTGCAGTCTAGAGATGAGAATACGCTGCACTCCGATGACGATGCGGGGCGGAGTGAAGAGGATGATGTTGTGGCTCCATTACCAGCTAAATCCTCTACAAGTGGCCCTGCACCTTCTAAGAAGTCAGCCAGTCAAACTTATCAAAAGGTTAGAATTAGATTTCTGCTCATCTGTTTTTGATTTGATGCTGAATAATGTCTTGACCATTTGGATATCTTTCGGTTTCGAATTAGTTGACTCAACTAGAGCATGTACTCAAAAGACCGGATACGTATATAGGAAGTGTTGAAGCGATACGACAATATATGTGGGTTTATGATAAAGAGAAAAAAGCAATGGCCAACAAAGAGATTTCCTTCGTACCTGGTTTATATAAGATTGTGGACGAGATCTTGGTGAATGCTGCGGATAACAAGGTAAGAGAGTTCTTAGAGTAGTCTTCATTAGATAGAGCAAGAGAGCTTAAAGTTGGGATTGATTTTAGCAACGTGATGATAAAATGGACACCTTGAAAGTTACTATTGATCCTGAAAAGAATCTAATATCAGTGATGAATAACGGAAAAGGAATTCCAATTGAGGTAGGTTTACTTTTTTGACGTGTTTGGCTGATTCTATTGCTTTGAGTCAGCTAGCTGACAAGTTATATGCTTTTTTTCTCCAAGATTCACGAAACTGAAGGATGCTACATTCCAGAATTGATCTTCGGACACCTTTTAGCGGGTAGTAATTTTGATGACGACGAGAAAAAAACAACTGGTGGAAGAAATGGATATGGAGCTAGTTGAGTCATTTCTGTTCTTTTAGCGTTTCGCCCATTTCGCAAATCCAACCGAATCTGTCATCGTCCCTTTGAACTACGCTAGAATTGGCAAATATTTATTCGACCGAGTTCATTGTGGAAACTGCGGAAGCAACTACATGTAAGAAGTATAAACAAACTTTTCGAAAGTGAGTCTTGATCTCAACCTAGGTTTTGTAAAAATTGATCACTAACCGATCGACATTATTTCCTATAGCAATATGTCGGTCAAAGAAAAGCCGAAAATTACAGAAAACAAGAAGGGAGACCAATACACTAAGATCTCGTTCAAGCCAGATCTTGTAAAATTTAATTTACCAGCTGAAAATGGTCTCGCAGGTGATATGGAAGCTTTGCTGAGTAAACGTGTGTATGATATGGCTGGTACATTGAAGAATGTCAAGGTCTGGTTGAATGATGAGCGGTTGAAAGTGACTACATTCAAGAAATATGTTGAAATGTATACTAATGGCATCAATGAAGTAAGTCTCATGGAACTCAATGCCTTCACTCTGATTGAACCAGGATTTAGTTTGCTCATCCTTTTGACCGTACCAACAATAGGCTGTCAAGGGCGGTGTAAAGGAAGAAGAAATTCCAGGATCACCAGGAGCCGGTCCTCCCAAAGCCACAATCTTATATGAAGAATGTGGTAAAAGATGGGAAGTGGCCTTCACACCTTCCGATGGACAATTTCAACAAATCTCATTTTGTAACTCGATTGCAACTACCAAAGGAGGTACACATGTCGATCATGTGGTGAAACAACTTGTAGAAAAAATCACAGAAGCTGCTAATAAACATAAAGCTAAAGTTAAACTTAAACCTTTTCAAGTTAGAAACCATTTATGGGTCTTTGTAAATTGTTTAGTTGAGAATCCGGCATTTGATAGTCAAACTAAGGAAAATATGACACTTGGAGTTAGTAAATTCGGGAGTAAATGTGTGATGTCAGATGAGTTTTTCAAGAAAGGTATGTCACTTCTTTTTGAGCATCGGCTTTTTGTCCTTGAAGCCTTCAGAGAAACTGTTATTGATTTTGTTTTGTTTTGTGAAGTGATGAAATCCGGTGTGATTGATAGCGTGGTAGACTTTGCGAAATTGAAGGAAGAAGTGGCATTGAAGAAGACGGACGGGTCCAAGCGATCTCGTATCACCGGAATTGTCAAACTAGAGGATGCCAATAACGCGGGGACGAAGAAAGCGGCAGAGTGTACTTTAATTTTAACGGAAGGAGATTCAGCCAAATCATTGGCTGTTGCTGGGTTAACAGTCATTGGACGTGATAATTATGGTGTTTTCCCACTTCGTGGAAAATTATTAAACGTTCGAGAAGCTAGCGGAACTCAATTGTTGGCGAATGCTGAGATTCAACATATTAAGAAGATCATGGGACTTCAACAAGGCAAGAAATATACCAGTCGAGAGTCCTTGCGATATGGGAGTTTGATGATCATGACGGATCAGGTATTTACACCATGTTGGATTGTACCATTCTTTTTGGTATGTTTACTGATGAGTGTTTGATTTGATAGGATCACGATGGATCTCACATCAAAGGCTTGATTATCAACTTTCTTGATTACTTTTTCCCATCACTATTAGAAATTCCTGGGTTTCTGGTTGAATTTATCACTCCTATTGTTAAAGTGACCCGTAAGAAACAAGAATTATCATTCTTTACTATGCCAGAGTTTGAAAGATGGAAAGAAGAGAATAATGGAGGAAGGGAATGGAAGAGTAAATACTACAAAGTAAGCGTCTTCAATGCTTTTTATCAATTTCTGGCAGGTCAAGGTGAACTGATTTGGTTATGTACGTGTATAGGGATTGGGTACCAGTGATGCGAAGGATGCTAAGAAGTATTTTAGCAAGATGTCATCTCATAGAATTAAATTTGCTCCCACTCAACCTACTGATCGGGACCTTATTGACATGGCTTTCAACAAGAAAAAAGCTGATAACCGTAAGGAATGGTTACGCGGATTTGAGGTCAGTTTTAGTATGCCAAAGAGACCTTAGTAGGCCAAGCAGGACTGACTAAAACACCTGTTGCTCATCCAGCCCGGTACACACTTGGATCACAACGTCTCCCAAATTAGCTACACCGAATTCATCAACAAAGAATTGATTCTGTTCTCTATGGCTGACAATATCCGATCGATACCATCGATGGTTGACGGCTTTAAACCGGGTCAAAGAAAAGTTCTGTTTGCTTGCTTCAAAAGGAAATTGAAAGCGGAGATCAAAGTAGCTCAATTGGGAGGTTACTGTGCCGAACATTCAGCCTATCATCACGGAGAACAAAGTCTTACACAAACGATTGTCGCACTCGCACAAAACTTTGTCGGAAGCAACAACATCAACGTACTTTCACCTAATGGACAATTTGGTACACGGGCAAATGGTGGTAAAGATGCAGCCTCTGCAAGGTATATCTTTACCAATATTGAAAAGATTACTAGAGCGATCTTCCCACCTCAAGACGATCACGTTTTGAATTATTTAAATGATGATGGAGCTCAAATCGAACCTGAATGGTATGTACCTGTCTTACCGATGGTCCTAGTAAATGGATCAAGTGGAATTGGGACAGGATGGAGTTCAGATATACCGAATTATAATCCGATGGATATCGTTGAAAACTTGAGAAGAAAGTTATCAGATGAACCATTAGAACCGATTTATCCTTGGTTTCGTGGGTTTACAGGTCATATCACACCTGAAGCACCTGGTAAATTCAAGGTTACTGGAGAATGGAATCAACCTGATGAAGATACGGTGGAGATTACTGAATTACCGATTAGAGTTTGGAATTTGACTTATAAAGAACTGCTGGAAGCTTGGATCACTTCGACGGACAAGGTGCCCGCATTGGTCAAGGTAATATTTCAATCTTCTTGTCTGCTATCAATATTATATTATCTTAAGATCTGATGAGAGTAAAAATCGATAGGATTATCGTGAATATCATACAGAAACCACAGTTCATTTTATAATTCAATTAACTGATAAAGGCAAAGAAGCCATCAAAAAAGATGGTCTAGAAAAAGTGTTCAAGTTAACTGGCAATGTGTCTACTACCAATATGGTTTGTTTTGATTCGTTTGGAAAAATCAAAAAGTATAGTACACCTGAAGAAATTTTGGAAGATTTTTATGACATTCGACTTGAATATTATCAAAAGCGAAAGGTTTGTCGCATATTTTCAACTTCTTTTTCATTCAAGAAAATGCTTTGAAAGTTGAAACTGAATTGAGGGCTTTGATAACTTGAATGTATATATAGGAATTTTTGGTTCAAGATTTGACGACTACATATGAAAGATTATCAAATCAAGCAAGATTTGTTTTAATGATTATTGAAAAGAAACTAATCATCAATAATCGAAAGAAAGCAGAAGTAGTAATCGATTTACGTAAACTTGATTTTAGACCATTTCCTCGTAAACCTAAACCTAAGACTGCAGGTGATCCCGATCAAGTTGGTGAAGATGATCAAGAGGAAGAAGAACATGACGAAGTCGAATCAGCTGGGGATTATGATTATCTTTTGAGCATGGGTGAGGTCATGTTTTTCTACCTCTGCAAAGAGTTCTTTTGGGTTCGTTTATTGATTGTGTTCAATACTGCTTCAGCCATCTCGAGACTTACTGCTGAACAGGTTGCTAAACTATTGGCTGAACGAGATGAGAAAGAGAAAGACCTCCAAATCTTATTAGGTAAAACTGCTAAGGATCTATGGCATGTTGATCTTGATGCATTTGAGGCAGAATGGACCGTAAGTTTAGATTTCCCGTGAATTTCCTATGTACCAGTCGGTCTGATGTTTCCGTCTTTTTTGCAAATCCAGAATATCATGCAAGCAAGCGATTTACAACGTCGTACTAGCGTGAAGCGTGTGAAGCCCATGGGTTTTAAGCCTCCTACGGCTGCTGCTAAAGCTAAAGCTAAAGTAAATTTGAAATCTCACTAAGTAGAAAGTGACACAGTCTGATGTTTTCATTAATTTTACTCCAGGCAAAAGAATTGGATAGCGATGGTGAAGAGATTTACAAGCCTAAGGCAGCCGTAGCTAAGAAACCGGCCACCAAAGCCAAAGCAGAAAGTGGACAGACTAAGCTTGATTTTAAACCGAAAGCTTCGGACCCACTGGCGGAAAGTTCAACAACTGCTCAGAGTAAACCAGCGGCTGTGAGAAAGGTTTCAGGTTCTCGCGGAGCCAAACGTGGGTCGCAAGAAGCTGGCGAGGATGATGATGATGATGATGACACGAAGGATTTAGGAGGCAATAAAGCAGCGCAAGGGTCATCGAAGGCTCCAGCGCCGAAAAGAGCTAAAAAGGTTTGCTCTTGATATATCTTATGACAGTCACCTGAAACAACAAACTAATTCAAAGATGCAATCATGTGTCAAATTTATCTAGGCTCCAGCTAACAAAGAGCCAGAGAGTGATGGACCATCAGAAAGTGAAGATGATTTTACAATCAAATCAAGTAGTAAGGCACCTATACCTGCGAAGAAATCAACTAAAACTAAAGACTTAAGTGATAGTGATAGTGATGAAGTAAAAGTGATTAGTTCCAAGAAAAAGGCGGTACCTGCACCAAAGAAGACAGTAGCTAAGAAGAAACCTAAAGCAATCGTCGATGACGAAGATTCGGTTGATTCAGAAATTGCTGCTCTTGATTTGGATACGGGTTCTGAATCTGATGGATCAGATGATGACAAACCAGCGGTGAAGAAGAAAGTGGCGACAAATGTTAAGAAGGCTAAAAAGATCTTATCAGATGACGATGAAGATGTGGATATACCAAAGAATAAGAAAAAGGTTACAGCTACCAAAAAAGGCAAAGAGATCGCACTCGATAATGATGAATCTTCAGATGATTTGATCATGAAGAAGAAACCAAAGAAACCGAATTCAGCTGGGTCGACCGTTGAAGAACCTGCGAAACGTCCAGCAAGGTAAGTTTTGATTGTATTCAAGAGTAAGACATTTTGGGTTTTGGAGAGGAATTTATTGATTTGTATCTTTTGTTTCAATTCATAGAGCTCGTGCACCTATTAAATATAATGTGGCAGAAGTTGATAGTGGAACCAATGAATCTGAAGCTGAAAGTGATTTTCAAATGGATGAAGATGATTGAATAATCACAAACAAACATGCGTTTAATCAGAATATTTTCAGTGTTTTTTCCATATCATCTGTGTTTTTGTTTTTTTGTTTTTATAATGAGGCTCTTATAAGTGAATATCTTGTGAGACGTGTTGATCTATTTGTAGATAATTGAGAGTGTTTTTGGATTTGTTTGGTTTTTGTATTAGTTGACTCATATACATACGTAGTCAAAGTGTTTTTTTGGATATCTTGAGTTTTTGTTCTTAGTCATTTTATCAGTACTACAAATGTCTCTGATTGTGGAAAATTTGATTGTGGATTTGGTTTGCATGTTGGTTGATCGGGATTGCCTTTGATGCTCTGTGACGTCACATTGAGGAACATGGAGGCCATCGCGTTGAGATGAGCTATCCATCTATTTTTATTCCTGCGCGCTACTTCAAGTGATCAGCCTTCCCGGTCGCGACCCTCCACAGCTTCCGGCTGATACCGGACCGTCCGACAAAAGCTCAAAAGATGATGCTCCGCTGGAAGATTTGGTCAGACGCCACACCAAGAGCCGACGTACAGAACCCTACTGAACCAGCTTGTACATCTGGTGGACCAGGTTGATTTTTAATCTGCCAATGCCATTGAGGACATCGCGCTGAGCCGCATTGAAATTTGACACCCTGAAGCTTCCGTACCAGATTTCTTTCCTCCAATGTCCAACTATATTCTATCTTCACGAGTTCCGCGTTCATTTTTCTATCGGAGCATAACACTTGACAGGCCTCATCCTCGGCAAATCGTGTTGTGATCCCAAATTGATTTCTGCAATTTCTATGTTGCGTTTCAAGCTGGGGGCGCGTGTGAACAAACGGGCGAAAAGGCGCCCAGAAAACTCAGAAAGTAGGCAGGCGCGCCCAAAAGTATGTACTATGTTGGCTATTCCCTGCTCAGGGAAATTGCTTGGTTGCGTTGAGTCTAACCAAACTTGTGCCATTGTTTGGTTGGAAAGGCTAAGATCAAGCATTCAACTCGAGTTAAAAGCTGGCAGGAGTGGAATCAAGAAGTTATCACATGAATTACACCTTCAAAATCCTCAAAATCCGCCAATCCTTTTGGGAAAAAGTTGTTAGCCTGACTTGTGTTGCTCTCAAATTTGATGGATTTGTTTCTTTGGCCATCAAGGCTTGTTTTTCTGTTACATTTTGCGCAAAAGATGCCAATAGAAATAACATGTGAGTTATTTTGAGCTCTCTTATCATTCAGATTCAGAACACCAAAATATAACTTATGTATCTTTAGATTCACACAGACTAGGTATAAGTCTGGGCTCAAGTTTGTAAAACAGTTTTTGTCAGATAACACTTGTAGGCTGTGTATGATGACTGCACCAACACAAGAGCATCTAAAAGTTTAGCATGATCTTCTTCCTTTCTCATGGAAACAGTGATCTCATTCTTGATTACCAAAAAAGAAATCAAAATGATAAAATATAATGATGTCATTATCTAAATTGAACCCCTTTTACATGTCATCTTGGCTGTGATTGGTGAGCAGATTACCAAGATCTATAGGACATACCTTTTGCATTTACAAATCTTTTCAGAATTGAAACTCATCTTGTTCATTTATGAAGAAACCAAATTAATAGACCTCCCTCCAAGAAGGAGTAGGTTCTAATTTGAGTTTTTATAAACTTATTTATAAACTGTAAATTGATAAGAGGTGTAGGTAAGCGTACAGGCATGCCAAGGAGCAAGGAACTTTGTTGAGTTTGAATGTGGTGAACTTGAACTCATAATGTTAAACCTACAATTCAAAAAACTTGACATACATATTGAGCAGACTCCCTCTTGCCTTGGTTGTTGATCTCCCATATTTAAATGTGGACAAGATAGTGTTTACTTAGGCGTCGTTCGGCAACAGAGTCAAATTTGTAGGTACTGTGAATCTACTAGGGTTCAGAAGTACCGAGAGTCTAATTCGGGTAAAGGCTTATAATGCGAGAATAGCGGATTCGAGGATTATAAGGAAGTGATTAGGCAAAAGGCACTGTGCGGTGAATCAGTAGAGAGCAAGCTGGGGATTGAATTGCAGCGAAGAAAGGTCCGCCTTTTATAGGCGAGACTTTCGCAGTGAAATCTCATTCTAGGCTACAAGATAAGAGCGCACAAGATAAAGGCCGGAAGCGGCGAACAAATAAGGAAACAAGATATGGAAAAGGATATCGAGAAGATATCCATATAATATATATGGAAGTAAGTAAATAAAACATGCGCGTCGCGTGAACCATCTGATGGTTCACCACTACAGGAAACCCGGATCCGGCGAGGCTTTGTTAAACGGATCCGGAGGTTTCACATCATCCCTTCTCCAGTTCGAAGCACCGTATTCAAGAAGAGAAATATTTGGAAAGAAGTATAAAGGAAAACAAATAAAATATAAATTGAAACATATCCATTATACTACTACAAGTTAGTTATAAGAAAACAATTGAGAGAAAAATAAATATAAGAAATAAAAAGGAAAAGAAACAATTCTTAATTGTTATAGCTTAACATTCCTCTGCGTTGCAGAGCCCATTTGTCGCGTCTTTTAACATCGGCGGACGCGTAGAAAAAGTTATTGGGGGGACCTTTATAATGTTTTAAGCGGTCTTGGTTGGTTGGTAACATTAGAGAGTGTCCTCCAGAAGTCATGAGCACACAACTTCCATTTGGATGGATGTCTTGGATGACAAAGGGTCCGTCCCATCGAGGGTGAAGTTTGGTTGGGCGGTCTTCGAATCTTCTCAGGACGAGATCGCCTTCTTTGAAGTTTTGTTCGACATAAGTCTCTTCAGACTGAGCGGCACGTCTTTGAGCTTTCTCATTGGCGGTGTTGATAGCTTCCTGTCGGGCTATGTTGAGTTCTTTTGAATCTAGGTTGCGTTTTCGGTAGATTAATTCGGCTTCTTGAGTTGAGATAGGAGGTACTGGACCAAAGAAGCGAGGATTGTGAGGTAGGCGTGGTTCTATACCGTGGACTAGGAAATAGGGAGATTTTCCTAATGTCGCGTTCTTGGACACACGGTAGCCAAAGAGGGCTTGTTCGAGAACTTCATCCCAGAGATTTTGAGAGTCAGGCGAGACAAGTTTTCGAACTGATGAGATTAAAGTTTGATGGAATCTTTCGACGAGTCCATTGGATTGAGGGTGGTAAGGGCTGGTTTGGTTGTGTTGGATGAGATTGGCCTTTAAGAAGTTAATGAATTCATAGGAGTCGAATTCAGGGCCATTGTCAGTGGTTATTTCTTCGGGAAGTCCAAACTGTAAGATGAGACTCTTTACCATTTGGATTGCAGCTTTAGCAGACTGCTTCTTGAGCGGGATCGCACAAGCCCAAGCTGTGCCATAATCAATGGCGGTGACTAGGTATTGATAACCGTTTGCGGTTTGAGGGAGAGGACCTACAAAGTCCATTCCCCATTTCTTGAAAGGTCCACCACGCTCTATGACTCGGAGGCTGGTGGTTTGTTTTGAGGTTGGAGGTGCGGAAAGTTGGCAAGGGTTGCAGACTTCGATGACACCTTCCACGACTTTGGTCATATCAGGGCACCAAAGCCTTTTCTGGACTGCGTCTAATGTATCCTTGACGCTTCGATGTCCTAAATCAGTGTGGATGCCTTTAATGATTTCTTCGGCTTCGCGGCGGTTGCTAGGCACTGGGAGTTTGTCTTCGTTGTCCAAGTTCTGGATCATCAAGGTATTATCTTGAATGGAGAATCTTCCAGATCCTACGAGAGAGGGGTCGACGCCTTTAAGGAGTTGGTCGCGGTACTTGGTGATAGTGTCGAAACTGTCTAAAGTTTCCTGTTTGGTAACGAATAAGGGAGCGGCGGTTTCGGGTGGATCAACATCTGCTTCAGTGTTTGGGCGTCGAGAGAGAGCATCGGCGGCGAGCTGTTGAGAGCCGGGTCGATAAATGATTAGAACATTGAAGAATTCAATTTCGTCCACAAATCTTGCGAGTCTTCAATTGACGTGGCGTTGAGTTTTGAAATGCTTGAGGGACTCGTGATCAGTCCGTACGAGGATAGGGGATCCTTCGATGAATCCTCGGAATTTCTTCAATGCATGTACGATAGCCAGGAGTTCACGCTCCTGCGCTGAGTAGTTCTGCTCCGTCTTCGAGAGCTTTCGAGATTCGTAGGCAATGGGCCTAAGGGTCGAGTTCTTGGCCTTCTTGTTGTATTCGACAAGTGAGAAGGAGGAGTCAATAAGTTCTGAATTTGGATCTTGCTGCAAGACGGCGCCAATGTTGAAACCGGAGGCGTCAGTATCAATAACGAAAGGTCTGAATGGAATTGGATGGGATAGGAGGGCGGTGTTGGCAAGATGATGCTTGAGGGATTTGAAGGCAGCATCATGCTCCTTCCCCCACGAAATTGCAGCCCGCTTTTTCGGGGAGCCTTCCGTCAAGGCGTACAGTGGGGTTGCAATTTTTGAAAAATCCTTGATAAAACGCTTGTAATAGGTTGATAAATTAAGAAATCCACGAACTTCGGTAATGTTCGTAGGGGTAGGCCATTCTTGTATTTTCTTGATTTTTTCGTCGTCAACTTGAATACCTTGACCATTGACTTTGTGTCCTAAAAAAATCAAATCAGTATGTGCCCATTTGCACTTCTTTGGTGATAAGACAAGGTTCACACCATCTAAAAGTT